TGTGAGACCTGGTCGTTGAGAGAGGAATACATGGGAAGGCTAGCTGTCTTTAATCATAGGTGTCTGCATTCTCTCTCCCGTGTTAGAGAGGTAGTATAATAGGGTGAGCGATATTGAGGTTAGGGTTGGGTCGAGTGCTAGGTAAGGAGGGAAGGGAAATCAATATACGAGGTTTTGAATCAGCTGCATCGATTGAGATGGTTAGGACATGTGTTATGCATGCGTCCGTAGCCATCGCCTTACTCGATAGAGGACAATGTTAGCTGATATAGGGTCAGGCTGGAAAAATGCTAGCAGCGGTCAAACCATAACATGGCACCAGTCAATGAAATCTACAAGAGTTAGTTTAAGCCAACCAGTTACGCAGGTAGGTGTAAACCTCTCTGACTGGTTGGGGTCTTCGGTTTGGTAAACACCAATGGCTGGAGACAACTGATGATGATATGGCTCAAAGTGATTGTTCTCAATGACTGGCAACGATGCATCCACTCCTTGTGACTTATAATTTCCAGTAAAACAGTATTGTTCTTCTTTATTACTATTCCTTTTGCCTCATATCTCTATTTACTGTCTCTATTTTGCATATCTTTTCACTTCCTTCTCTTGCTCTGTGTTCTACATGGGGTGGAGTGGGGCGACTGGAACTGCTGCACATTGGTGCAAAGTTCTATGTTGAAACAAGTTAGTCAATCAGTCAATACTTAAAAAGGTCGTTCATGTTTGGATTAAAATGATAATGAAGTGAAATTGTGTAGAATTGACAACAAGCAAAAATCATAAACTGAGTGTTATCGTGTATTGTTTTAAAGTCCATAAAGTTACTGTAAGCCAGTCAGAAAGACAGCAGGATCAGATGCGGTCCCTTCAGAAGCAGTGAAAACTACCAACCAAGAAATCTCAGTGGACATGCACAGGCACTATTGAAGAAAGTGTAGAAGAAGGGAGAGATAGCTACATAGATTGGAAGAAAGGTGTTACACTGTCAAACTGTTAGGAAGGCAAACTTTAGTTTATGAAAGAACTGGTGCGGAAACATGCTTCTGTTTGCCTCGAAAAAAGTGTCAAGCCGAATCATTGCAAAATGACTAAAAGATGTTCAGAATGAAGGACTTTGACCAAGACAAATAAATCCAGGAAAAAACAAGTCATTAGCGGATCAAATTGCATCATTATTTAACACAGTTTAGAGTGGAAGTGAAATACTCAGGTCTACTTCTTCGATTTTCAGAAATCTTCCGATAGTTTCGTCTGTTTAGTAGTCTTACAACTTCGTCAGCACTAAAGAATACTGTAAATGCTTCTAAACCTCACTCAACTGGTGTATGATGATACAGTATGCCAAGTGATTCAAAACAGCAAACTCACTAAAGCGTTTGAAGTGAAGACAGGAGTAAGACAAGGCTGCTAACTGCCTTCGATGATCTCCCTGATTGTCTTTGGCTATATCATGTTCTCTGGAGATGCTTGGCTGTAAAGGGAATTCCGAGAAAATAAATTGCACTGATTAAGGCACTCTACTCGTACTCATACAGCCAGGTGAGGGCTTACGGCGAGCTGTCATCTGAGCTGTGGACGACCAGTGGTGTCCGTCAAGGATGCCCATTATCCCCTTTTCTATTCAACTTCATCATAGATGTGTTAATGGACTTAACCCTAGGTGACTTCAGCGACTCAGGGATTGACTTGCTACCGGGGAATAATCTCGTTGACTTGGAATATGCAGACGATATAGCCGTCCTAGGCGAAGACGCTGACAAAATGCAGAGCCATCTGAACACCTTGAACCACAATCTACGAATGTTTGGCATGCGATTCGCTCCCGCCAAATGCAAGATGATGTTACAGGACTGGACTACATCGACGCCTAGTTTAAAATAGGAAGTGAAGTGGTAGAGCACGTTGACCGCTTCACTTATTTGGGAAGTACCATCAGCCCCAACGGGCTGATCTCTGACGAAATCTCAGCACGAATACAGGGGGCTCGTTTCGCATTTGTCAGTTTACGCCGACTCTGGCGTAGACGAGATGTTCGACTATCGACCAAAGGACGGGTGTACTGCTCATCAGTCCGCTCCGTCCTCCTTTATGGTTGTGAGACCTGGCCACTGAGAGTGGAAGACATGAAAAGACTAGCTGTCTTTGATCATAGGTGCCTGCGCTCTATTTCCCGTGTAAAGTGGCATAATAAGGTGAGCAACATTGAGGTTAGGCGTAGAGTTCTAGGTAAGGAGGGGAAGTCAATCGACGAAGTCGTGAAGTTACAAAGACAGATGGTTAGGACATGTGTTACGTATGCCAAGTCATCGCCTCCCTCGACGAGCAATGTTAGCGGATATAGGGTCAGGCTGGATAAAAGCTAGCGGCGGTCAAACAAAAACATGGCACCAGTCAATGAAATCCACAACAGTTGGTCTAAGCCACATAGGAAGGTGTAGACTTCCAGGCTTGGGTCCTCGGGACAGTAAAAATCTATGGTTGGAAACAATTGGTGACATGGCTCAAAATCGTCCTCAATGGCTGGCTGGCGCAGATGCATCCACTCCTTGTGACTTATGATCTCCAATGAAACTGTTTTGTTCTTCGTTAATACTCCTTTGTCTCACACCTCTGCTCACTGTTTCTATTATGCTTTTCTTGTACTTTCTTCTCTTGCTTCGCGTGCTACACGGAGTGTGGCGACTTTAGGCGCCGCACATTTGTGCAAAGTTGTATGTCGAAAACAGACAGACAGACAGACAGATATCATGTGACAGACCGTTCTTATGGACTGAAAAGATGACTTGATATAATTAGGAGACTGTTTCAACACTATGGAGACCCTGAAGTCGTTACCAACCTCATTTAACCGCTATATGATAATGTCACACGTCAAGTGATCCACGATGGAAAAATTAGCTAAGCCTTTTAATTAAGGAGAGGAGTAAGAGAAAGCTGTCTGTCTACTATCACCTATGACATTCCAGATTGTGGTGGACTGATTATATGGAAGAGTGTGGGGAGCGAGGAGACATGAATACTTTGGACCTATAAGAAGTATGTAGAAGAACTGGACTTTGTTTACCATTCATGTCTTATATCACAAAAACTCGAAGACTTACAGGCGAAATACAACAAGTCTCAAGCAGTGGGAGCTACCGGCGAAAACAGGACTTCAAGGGAACACAGCGAAGACGGAGGTGGTCATAATAACCGACCAGCAACAGAAAGCACTATCCACGAGAAGAATTAGAAAGAGGTCCACTCCTTCACTTATCTGCTCGACATCATTTCAACTACAACCAACTGAGAGTGTCATAACTAGGCAGGGTCAGAAAGGCAAGGGAAACAAACCTTCATCAATCACCGTGAAAAACCAGTTTGAAAGTGTGCTGCACTCAAAAACAAAACAAAACCGTTCAGGATTTTTTCAACATCACTGTCACAACTAGCTAGTCACTTCATCTATAAGAGCCAGAGACATATTCACGTAGATAAAAAAATGGCGGTGGATTGGACACTGATGACATTGGCTGACGATGTCACTATATACCTCGAATTGAGAGAAGTCAAAATTTGTAGGCCTACCATTGGATTACGCCTCAGTGATTGTTACGTCAAAAGGATTTAGCTAGTAAACTAAAGATCTTGAGTTCAAATTTTGGAGAGGTTATGGGTGTGTACAACCGAAGAGGTACAAACTAGAAAGAAACAACTGTCGAATTCCTTCTGATCGTGGAAAATACCCATTGGAACATTAGATTGAAAAGAACAAGAAGTTCAGCAAAGATATCTTTTCGATGAATTGAGTGAAGGCAAAGAGAGAAAATTACATAAACACAGATAACAAAACAAAAAAAATTGAAGGATAAGGGAACATACCGAACTAGGTCCATGGTAGTTGCAAAGGCTGGGCTAGTTTCTTTTGAACACATAGCTCCGGCGTTTCGATCCATATGGCGAGAGCTTCCGCTGCACAAAGAAGTCGGAAACACACTGCCTTTGGTAGATTTTTGTTTACTTTGTAAATGACTCATCATTTAGAGTCATTTACAAAGTAAACAAAAATCTACCAAAGGCAGTGTGTTTCCGACTTCTTTGTACAGCGGAAGCTCTCGCCATATGTGGAATTAAACAAATAGTAATTCTATCCATGTAAACTAATCTATATAAATGCGATTGTATAGCTTTTGAGAATGAAATCGCCGAAAATATCGCCATCTTTGCTGAACTTCTTGTTCTTTTCAATCTAAAATTCCTTCTGCGCAAAACCTGAGAAGTGAAATAAAATCGTCATTTTTGAAGGATTCTCTTATGTCGTAATCAGTGGATCGGTTTGTTCTTGTGGAATAATGATGATAAGCTGTGTGACCTGGTACTAATAGTGGTGTTTAGGAGAATAATTTTATGATAATATGATATTTTGCTCCTTATCGTTTATATTTTCAATGTTAACAACGATTCCGATTTATTCATTTACTTCTTGTTCCCCATACACGCATTTTATTATTATTATTATTATTTCGTCTCAAGATTGATTAAACAGAAGACCGCTGAAAACAAATAAAGAGTACTGGACATTTGTTTCGTTCTCGTTTAGGAGTCATCATCAGTGCAGACATATGACCCCACTGCCAGGGATCAAACCTAAAACACTTTCAGTTCACGAGTTGAGCTCTGTCATCATACAGCCACTAGGACGAAATTCAACCGCCCCTAAACTCTAACTTCAATCATTTCACACTGTGTAGCACCACTGGCTGTCAGTCTCACAGGTACTTATCTGTACTCACACCCTGCTCGGTGGACGTCAATGGTCGGAATGTCTCACTAGGACTTCAGACACTCAAACCTGTAGTCAGTTACTAGTTCGAAATCCATTCCTTTTGGAGTGCCTGTTGATGAAGTGTCCCAAACTAAAACGAAACAGTTTTCCCATACAGATTCTCTAATTTTCACTGGTTGAAATCCTTACAACCCTTTACAAGTTGACTGTCGAAAATAACCTTATTTTCTTTTCCAAGGCTATGGAGATGTTGGTTGATGAAGGTTTGGTGAAGTCAATTGGCCTTTCAAATTTCAATAAACAACAAATTGAAAATATCCTTAAACATTGTCGAATTAAACCAGCCAATTTACAGATTGAAATTCATGCAAGTTTTCCAAATATTAAATTGGTTGAGTATGCACAATCCGTTGGTATGACTGTCACCGCCTATGCACCTTTGGGTTCACCTGCTCGTTCACCGTAAGTTGAAATCATGTGTGCCCATTTTTTGAACACTGAATGATTGATGCAATTTAAACTGATTTTTATGGGGTTTATTTTCTGTCGTAATCAAGTCTACTTATTTGTCGGTCAGTAGTCGTGTAGAGCTCTAGCTTGAAACCCTATGATCCACAGGTAACGTAAAGATATAAAAAAAACGTTGTGTAGACATCAGGGCAGAAAAATATTTTAACTGATTAAAAATGCCCGTTAAATTTTCTTCGAAAAAATGGGTACTGAACAAAGAATATTCTTTTCGATAACCTGCTCTTCATCAGGTTTTACAGCTATACGCATCCATAATAGTTAATGAATAAGTGTTATTAACAACAACGTTAATGTATTGAATTGTATTGAATTTTTTTGATTTTCCAGTCGATTGATTGGACTGAAGTGCTCGGTCTCAGGTTGACATGTCGGCTTCTTGTGCAGATGCTTCGACGATGTCTGGGCATTTAAGTTAGTATTTAATTGGTTGATGGTGACTAGCAGTAGAATCCAGGATGGCAATTCACTTGGTACCCAATAGATGATATAGAAGAATTCTTCCGTGCTAGCTGGCTTACTGGCCGGTTTGGACCAAGTGGTCTAATGCCGAACTGTTGACGGTTCTTACTACACCTTTACTTAGCCATACTGGCAGATGTTCTCGAGCACATAAAATCCAATTCCTAGTGCAACGGTCAATATAACTCACTTCACCACAAGCTCAGTTGAATTAGTAGATACAATTAGAAGTGGCTGTCTGTCTGTCTGTCTGGATTCAACATAGAACTTGGCACCGAAGTGCAGCAGTTCGAGTTGCCACGTTCCAAATAGCACACAGAGGTAGACAAGAAGATGAGTGAAGAGAATTAATAGAGTTTGACAAATATAAGAGTGAAACAGAATGGGTAATGGTAGAAAGGAATATGAAAGATTACAGAGATTGAATACATCTGCGCCATTGACAACGATTTTGAGCCATGTCACCTATTGTCTCCAGCCATTGATTCCTAGAGTCCCGAGGGCCCCAACCCGGGAGTCTGCATCTCCCTACCTGACTCAGTTTAACTGTCAAGGATTTCATGGATTGATGCCATGTTTTTGTTTGGCCACCACTGGCTCTTTTCCAACCTGAACCTATATCAGCTAACAATGCCCGTCGGGGGAGGCGGTGGTTAGGCATGCGCACCACGTGACCTAGCCATCTTAGTCTATGTAACTTTATAACCTCGTCGATTGATTTTCCCTCTTTGCCCAACACTCTACGCCTAACGTCAACATTACTTACCTTATTAAACCACCTAACGTGAGACAGAGATCGCAGACATCTATGATCGAAAGCAGTCAACCTTTTCATGTCTTCAACGCGTATTGGCCATGTTTCAGAGCCATAGAGAAGGACGGAGCGAACTGATGAGCAGTACACACGTCCCTTGGTTGATAACCGGATGTCACGCCTACGCCAGAGATGGTGTAAGTCAGCGAAAGCAGCTCGAGCTTTTCGGATCCGTGCTGAGATTTCATCGCCAATCAGTCCGTTGGTGCTAATACAACTTCCCAAGTAGGTGAAGTGGTCAACATGTTCTATCACTTCACTCCCTATCACTAAGTTAGGGGTTGACGTCGTCCAGTCCTGTAGCAGCATCTTACATTTTGCAGGGGCGAATCGCATGCCAAACATACGAAGATTGCTGCTCAAGGTGTTCAGAAGACTCTGCATTTTGTCAGCATCCTCCCCTAACAGGACTATGTCATCTGCATATTCTAAGTCCATTAGATTATTCCCTGGTAACAAGTCGATTCCTAAGTCACTACGTTCAGTTAAGGATACTTCCATTAGCATATCTATGATGAAGTTAAACAGAAATGGGGAAAGTGGACATCCCTGTCGGACACCACTGGTTGTTACTAATTCAGATGACAATTCCCCATAAGCCCTTACACGACTACGTGAGTTTGAATAGAGTGCCTTGATTAGTGCAATGTACTTTCTTGGCACTCCCTTCACAGTCAGACATTGCCATAGTACTTTTCGGTCCACGGAGTCGAAGGCCGCCTTCAAGTCAAGAAATATGACAATTGTTGGACGCCGAAAAGTGTGTCTATGTTCTAGAATCTGTCGAAGAGTGAAGATATGATCTATGCACCCTCTACCTGGTCTAAAGCCTGCTTGATTTTCCCTTGTCTGTTCCTCCCGAGTTCTGCTTAGTCTATGCATGATTACTGAGCCTAGGATTTTAGAGACTATGTTCGTTAGGCTGATCCCCCTATGATTATCACACGAGGACTTGTTTCCCTTCTTGAATATCGGTATAATGAGTGACTTACCCCAGTCTGATGGTACTGTCTCTGATTCCCAGACTTTGCCTAGTACCTCAGTTAATCTACAAACTAGTATGTCACCCCCATATTTAAACACCTCCGGAATAATTCCGTCGGGTCCTGCCGCTTTGCCTCGTTTCAAATTACTGATAGCTTTTGTAACCTCACCTACAGACGGCGGACCAGTGTCTATATCCCATTCGGGTACGTGGTGGATGGCGGGGAGGTTCAGTGTGGCTGTAGGCAAGTTAAATTGTTCCTCAAAGTGTTCTTTCCAGCGTTCAAGGCGTCTATCCTGAGAGCTAATTAAGGAGCCATTTTTCTCAGAAATAGTCTCACTTATGAATTGCCTTTTCCCGCCCGATTCTGTGATGAGTCTAAAGAGTTGCCTAGTGTTGCCTATCGCCAATGCTTTTTCCATCTCTTTCGCCTTTGTCACCCACCACTGTTCACGGTCTTTGCGGAGACTTTTAGTAAGTTTCCTTTTGTGCAGCTTTCGCTCCTCATTGAATTCGGAGCTCGCCGGAATAAGTCTTCTAGCATCTATCAGTTCGGATGAGGCAGTCGAAATCCAGTGGTTTTTACTCACCTTTGGATTTGTCTTATTCACAGCTTTTACAGCTGTATCTATAGCTGACTGAATATTCTTCCAGGCTTCTCCAGGGTGAGCACAGCTGTCGGATTCAGATATGCGTTTAGCTAGTTCTTCCTCAAATAGGGATTTAGTTTCCTGATCGAGCTGGGGGCGTAATGGTTTTACCGCCAGCTGTTTCCTACGTCCGTTCAGTCGTAAGCACACCCGAGCCCGGACCAGTGCATGATCGGTATCTACACACGTGTTCCACAAGGAGCGACAATCTCCTACCGACCCACGCCAACGATAGCTTATTGCTATGTGGTAGAATTAGTAGATACAATTAGAAGTGGCTAGTCTAGGTACTTCCTTTTTCAATTGGGGAATCGCAACCGGTCATGTAGAAAATTAAAACTTTTACTTTACCAGTATTAAAGGTTTTTTGAACTGATTTTCTTAACTTCTTCGTAATTATTTCGCTAGGTTTATCACCCTTGAATTTCAGTCGCATGTATGAAGTTGAATAAGACATTCAGAAGACAAATTTCGCGAGATTACATCGTCATTTCGTAGTTTCTTTACAACCGCTTTACAACTAACATGGTTAACAATGATAAAATAAAGTTCATGAAAATTACTCAGTTAGATAAAAACAAAAGTACATACTAATGACCAATCATATTTAGATAGGTCATGTAGTCAGTTCATGGCAGGCGAAGATTGAAGTCTATTGATTTTTGTACACACAGTTTAGGCTGTATGTGATTAATCCAAAATGGTTCCATCACCTTCTGTGAACTTCTCTCGAAAGAAATCCGAAACGATAATCCAAACTATGGATTTAACCACACGTAGAGTGACGCGTAAAGTCCAAAATAAAGGATATTCTGCAATACGGTACTTTATTACATAAAAATAGATATATAATATACAAACCTCAAAATGTGAGGTGTCTGTGGCTAAATGCCGTCAAATGCACAACCACTGTGCAGTCAATAAGTAAAAACAGCAATGCTGTGTCAAGGTCGATCCACCCGTCGGTTCAAACGGCCCGCGAATGCCAAGCAAAGAATAAACAAATATGAACAAACAACTTTCAATAGTAAAGCATACACTATAGGGTAAATGCAGCAAATAATGTTTAAGGAGAAGAAAAATAAGAACTATACATTAACAGAATGATAATAGGACAAGTAATTTAACTGCAGTTGTAAGCAAATGTCATTGTTATAAATTATCATATAAAATCATACTACTTACTAATGGCAAGTAGTATAATGTTGAACAAAGGAAAGATTGAGAATGAACAGGTAGGAAAGGAATTAACACCTCCAATAACCAACCTTGAATGAGAGTTATGTGGTGAAATAATTGTGAAACAGTCATTAATATTTATTATGTAACCAGACATTAATAAGTGTTTTGCAATGGGTGATGCTGGATTTCTACTAAGATTAATCGCGTTGGGATTTTCAATATGATTCAGTAGCCATTTTGGAATATGTTCTTTTCGACGACATTGGAACATTCTGTTAGTTCTACCTATATAGGTGTCACCGCAGCTGCAGGTGAACTTGTAGATACAGTTTGAAGTAGAGTCCACAGAATTTCGTCTCTTAATCGTAGGAACAGGGATCGAAAATGTTCGGCAAGTGAGAGAAAGAGATGCGGCGTAAAATGTGCGTCTGATGGCTGACCAAAGTCTTTGAGCTGTCAACTGCATAATCTGGTCGCCCTTGAATGGTAGATTAATAAAGATAGCTTTCTTTGGTACAGAAGCTGTCTTTTCAAGATGTGGTCTATCCTTACCGTGACAACTGATGAAGTTTTCTGGATAACCATTGGCTAGTAAAACTGAATGTATATGTCGAAACTCATCCATTAATGTGTCACTCGTGCATATTTTTCGGGCCCTTGAGAACAAATATTTCACTACGGAACGTTGTTTATACTGGATAGGAACAAAACTGATAAAATGAAGATATTGTCCACTCCATGTCTGTTTACGAAAAATAGATCGTATGTATAGAGGCTTCTTGTTCACAGATAGTGAATAGTGCGTTTCAGCTTTCTTGGTCATGTGTTTCCTAATGCATATGTCTGGATAGCTATTTTCATTTGTGTGTTATACTCACCACACACACACACACACACACAATCAGAGATACACATTCACTATCATACAGCAGAAAAATGAAATGTGTCTAAGTTTTAGTAAAATGTAGGAAGTGAATGCGATTTAGCCAGTTTAAACCTGTTTCTATTTCATTTTAACACTCAACTTTCAGCCTACATGATCAGTGATACATCTGAGATTAAATCTGTAACATTGACCCGCTTATGTATGTGAGTGGTGTTTATTTTAAGGTTATCTAATCCGTGTACTGAAAACAGCAGTTAAAAGTAGATAACAGATCACTCTTGTTACATTTTGTATTCATGTTCAGATTAATGAGTATTAACGAGAAAGAGAGAGTGAGAGTGAAAGAAACAGATAGTGGAGGGTACAGCTAAGTTGAAAACACTTTCACTTTCTAACCTACATGATGAGATTTGTATCTGAGGCCATGTTTGCATGTTTTTTTTAACGTTCATTATGTGTACCTGGTTGTTGACTTGTTATGTGGTTATCAGGTATATTGTTTAAACAAATTAGCGGCCTGTAAACCTAATGATTGCTAGATTATTATTGGTGTCATTTTTGAGATATGCACATTTTAAAGTCTCTCATTCAAGTGTACAATGTAACTGTAAATGCACGATGTAACATGAAATATTACTAAGGCCATAGTAGTAAAACAGGTTTGGATAAAACGTTTCTCTACACAAAGATGTCAAATCGAGCGAGAATCGGGAAGGCGAGCGAGAAACACATTCATCAACCTGAAACCAATCTGAAAATTTTCGTCACTAAGTATCAACAACAAAATCCAGTCGGATTTTCAATACAAACGTCAAGTCAGTCAGCTCTTCTATACGGATCAGAAACTTGGCGGGCGGGTTACAAAGAATATTTCCAACAGATTGCATGCAGATCTTTATCAAAAAGGCCGCTGGGTGACATCGCGCGCGCATCAGGCCATTGCTCGAGTGGAACCAGGCCGAAAGGGAAGCGGCAAGTGGGTGGTCAGTGCAAGGGTGACATGGAGGAGATCGTGTGAATAGGAGTTGAAACAGTATGGAATCACATGGATGCAGGTGAAAAGTACAGCAGAAGACAGAAGTTGCAAGTGGAGAGGTGCAGTTGAAGCCCTATGTTCCACTAGGAACCCATGGGAACAATAATAATTCAATAATACACAAAGTTCAGGTTTCTTTATATAGACTGCTATGCCTTCAGCTGCATAAAGAAAGATATAAGCGAAATTTTTTTAAACGACTTGACTGTATTTTAATATTTGACTCTGAAAGAAGTCTTGCCTGATGGATTGTGCATGAGCAGAAGTAATAATATGCTCCAGAATTGACCTTTTGACTGTTCTACGTTCTCCTTTTTATAGGCATATTAGTAAGGTATTCATAGGTTTGTCTAAATAATGTCCTACTGGTATGGCCTATGCACTAAGCTTGACAGAAGCATATGAATTGGTAAATACCCATTGAAGTGGTCAACATCAGTATCTGGTCTTTCATATTTTGGTGAATAAGAGCATGTGTAGAGACGGTGAGGCGTAGAGATGTATCAAAGAATATTCTACGAATCGCCGTTGATAGGTGACTTAGGAGAACTTCACTAATTCAACTTCGCCTGAATTTCAGATTTGTCATTACCTGTTTTTTCGACACATTCAGGTTTCGAAGAGACTCGGTTTCTTTTCTCTAGATGAAGGACGTTGGATATTAATTTTCGATTACAGTTTTTTTTTTCTCAAAAAGTATTCCAGTTCCTTATTCAATGCATCTTCAGTGTATGTGTGATAGGTTCTCGTCGCAAGACAGGTGATGAGATTTCTTCTCCAGCTCACTGGGTTAAAACAGTGATAGTTTATCAACTGTCCATTCTTATTTGGATTCCTTCTGATTGTTTTGTAAGCTAAACATCAAGAAAAGAAAGATAGTTTGCCTTCTGTAACACTGATCGAATGCCCATAAAAATCAGATGGCTGTCTTAATTAATAGGCCAGCCCTGAGTCTGACTTCAGAGGAAGTGGAGCAGCGGCAGGAGCTACGTTCCTATTTATTTCCATCAACTGAATGAAGTTCATACTGCATTCAATCCAGTCGGATTTTGGAGTCCTTCATGTACACTACCATAGGTTTGGTATGAAGATTTTCCAGTTCCTCTAGTTAGACCGGCATGTCTAACACCAGTTATAAACATGAGAAATCTTCATTATCCCCTTTCACTTTTGAGGAGAAAACCGCCGCAGGAAAATAGGACTTACTTGTTTGATGCTATGAATGTTTGGTCACATGAAAGAATTAGGAGAGGAAGAAGGCAGTCTACCCACCCTTGGACGCTTCATAGGGTTAATGAGGGTATTCCCCAGTGAGTAATAATGTGATGGTATTAAAGAAAGCAAACATATTAATATGAAACTATATTCTGCTGATTGATTGAGCTGAGTGGAACATAAGGTTTCAACAACACATCGCCACCTTGTTTTTATTTTCGGAGAGAGATATCATAATGAATTAGGTTGTGCTTCTGATCAGATACAACTGTGTCACACGATAGACTGTCGATTGATCTTTTATTTTCAAGATACCAGACGAAGAGAAAATGTCATGCAATAAACTTGGCACTATAATAAATGATTATTAGTTTTTTTGTGTGTGTGTGTTTTACACAGTCAGCTGATGTGACAAGTTGCCTCATTTCAGATAGACATCAACTTTTTACGTTTCACTAAAGTAAATCTACTCATATTAATTATGATTTATTTTTGTTTTTTTTCTCTCTATACTACTTATAGTAAATCAGGAAATTTAATAACTGAACCATGGGTTATTTCAATTGGTGAAAAGTATGGCAAGACATCAGCACAAGTTTTATTACGTTATCTTATTCAACGTGGATTAATCGTTGTCCCTAAATCGGTTACACCTAGTAGAATTGAAGAAAATTTTCAGGTTTGTATGAAATAATTAATTGATTCACTGTAAATATTTTTACTGCTGTGATTTTCACCCTTATTTAATTATCTGTTTACTTAATAATACAACTTTTTTTAATTCGTGAAAAATTCTTATTGGGATATATAGAAAATCAAATTTAGCGATACAGAGAAGTCTTTTCAACGAATTTATTATCAAGCTGCATAATCGTATTTTGATGTGGTTGTGTTCTCTTAGTTGGATAGCTAATTTGCGAAGCTTTCATCGCCCTACTAGGCGACATCTTCAGCGCGTACTTCAATTCAAATTCAAGTGAGCTTTTAGATTTCTCCACGAGTTTATTAATCATCTCTCCTGGTGACTGGGCCTTGGACGTGACTGTTTGTTTTGTGTGTGTTTTCACACCTTCTAGGCAGCTACTTGTATCAGAACTGATTGTTTCCTTGACTTGAACTTTGACTCTTTGTGTGTAAAGTTGCTTTCTTATCGGTTGATAAATTTTGTCTATCTCGATGTGTCTATTGATTGATGATTCACTGGAGTACCAGCCAAGCTTCTAAAAACGCCCTAACATTCTTGTTGTTTCCTCTGTCTAATATTTGAACGTTGGTTGTCCTAGTCGAATGGATGTCCGTGGTTGTCTGTATGTAGTAATATGAAGGAGTGGATATCATCATGTGTTTTGACGGTTAGCTTATGTTCGTGGATACGAAGATGAAGGGGACGTCCAGTTTGCCCAATGTAGTGTTTTTCACAGTTGTTACAATTTATTTTGTAGATGGTGTTGGTTTTATCTTCTTTCGCTGTTGAGTCTTTTGGCTGACATAGAGCCAGCTGAGTGAAGTGACTTTGTTGGTTTGTGTGCAACGTCAATTCCTAAAGGTTTGAAGAGTGTTGCAGTGATTTCTGAGATATCCTTTACATATGGTAAGGCGATTTTCTGTGTGCTTTCCTTGGAGGCTTTTGGTTTGAAAGGTTGGCTTGGGGGTATATGTTTTTTGATGAAATTCCGGGGATATGCATTCTTTTGTAAGACGTCCATGAGATATCTTTCTTTAAGGTCCTATGGATGCGGTTGCTCAATGTTTGTATGTGATTTGTTGGGAATTGTTGATATACATCCTCGTCTTTGAGTCGTTCTTCAGCTTTCTTGGTGTATCCTTCTCTATCCATGATTACTGTTGTTCTTCTCTGGTCGGCTGGTAGAATGATGATTTGTCTTTCCTTTTTTCAGCTTTTTGAGGGCTTTAGTTCTTGAGAGTTGAGTTGTGTGTGTTGTTTTTTCTGTTTGACCATTAGTACAGTTGTTTGGCGTATCTCTTGTTGTGTTTCATCGTTCAAGTTTGATTATTTGAGTAATGATTCAAGAGCAGCGAAGAAATCAGTTTTTGAGGCATCTCCGATGTTGTAGTTTAATCCTTTTTGTAGTAGTTGTTGTTCCATTTTTGATAGTGGTTGTTTTGATAGGTTGACTACGCAGTCTATAGGTGTCGTCGTCCACATTGTTCGGTCAATTTCCATCCCATTGGGCAGTTGACTGGTGGTTTGTATCCTACACTGGTCGGTAGGGTTTGATGACAGAGGCACTCATGGAGAAAGAATAATTGTCTTCTGGTGGATCTCTGCCTTTTGGCGAAGTCTTCCCACTTTCAAACAGAGAGAAGCGTGTCCCATTCGTAAGATTTAGATATAATAGAGAAGATTTGTAGCTCAGGTGGGTGATTTTGATGTGGTTGTGTTCTATGAGCTGGATAGTTAATTTTCGAAGCTTTCATCACCCTACTAGGTGACATCTTCAGCGCATACTTCAATTTGAAGTATTCATAATGCTGTGGAGGAAGAGTTAAATCTCCTAAGAAAAATGTTAATGAATAAGGGATTTCTACCTCATTTTATAGACAAGTGTATACAGTCAAAACCTATGAATTGTGGCATTTGCCGAAAAATCGTTGAAAATAGCGTTTACTAATCGCTTACTACTGAAAATTTTGGAGGAGGACCGAACGCAATGGAGACGGGAGGCTGTAGCCCTATGTTCGTTCTTCTAGGAACTAAGGGAGACATTAATAGTACTAATATCGTCGTTTCACTCAAATAGCCAGGCGGAAATTGGGTGGTTTTGACCGACTGTGTTCATTGAGCTGACACAAACAGGGTTTGCTGATGATAAACTCGGTGCGAAATAAGCGCAACGGCCGTCCTCTGTCTTTACACCACACCGATCTGTCTGGCTAGCAAGCACTCACTACATTTTGATGTGTATGGTATCCAACTACTCATCTCAATAGATCAGTAGTATATATTTTTACATGAAAAAATTGTGTATGAAACATCCTGTGTTTGTGTGTGATATATATCCAATATAGAAATAAATATAAAATCACATCCTACTACAACGCCCAAGTTTTACACGCGCATATATATTGAATTCTACACAATTAATTAGTAAACTCACTTCATGAGGATTATTTGAATTATAAACCTTTTTTTGTATTATCTCTTTTATTCCTCTGATATTAAAGATTTTTGATTTTAAATTGACGAATGATGAAATGGAAAAGTTAACTACAAATGGATTAAATGAGCGTAAATTTCGAATGCTTGGGTAGGTTGATTCATCGATAGTCTACTTTTTTCTCTTAATGTTTTTTGAGTTTGTGATTTTGTTTAACTTAAAATAACTGATTGATACTCATTTAATTTATTGGAGAACTTCCTTGACCTCTGATATAGAAAGTTGATCTAACATGGCTACATACATACCTTCTACATAAAGGATAGTGATTTATCTACCTAGGTGTATTGCGCATTACTCCGTCTTATTCTGTTGTCATTGGGAAACATGAACTTTTAATTCAGTCTTCTGTTGCTCTATGCATTATTTGAACTCAGCTGGTTACCTGGAATTGTACAGTTGTTTCGTACCAATTTTGAGACCCTTCATAAGTACGCCATCACTGAGGTTCCAACTAAGAACCTTCAGGTTGTAAAGGCGAGCTTGTTGGCTACTCAGCCACTGGGACCTGATCCAGTGACTAGCCCATGAATTCTAAATGTTGCCAACCACGCTTGTAGTCCCGGGTTCGATTGTCGGCTGACGTTCTCCAAAACCTCCCTAAGCCAGTAGTAGGATCAGTTAAATGGAAAGGTTGTGTGTGAGGCTAGCAACCCCACTCGATAAAAAAATGCTACCCAGTTGTTCAGCTTAAAAGTAAGCAAAGTAGAACTTGAACCCAGGGCCTGATGACTACGGGTCTAGTGGTTAAGTCAATGACCTAAATCTTCGCATATTAAATACACAGTCAAACACTGCTTAAAAATAAATGTTCCTCTGGGATGAGTATCATACTCCCACAGATGCCAAGTCATCGGCTTCCTTATGGATATAGGTTAGCTGTTAAGATACTCAAATCAAAACTTTACATCAGTCCATGGAGCTTTTGACTGCTAGTTTTAGCCACTTAGGGAGGTGACTGTAGATATATCCCCCAAAATCCACAGTGATAATCGAGTCGATTAGTTAGACCATACGTTGAGATATACGTAAAATCCGAAAACAGGATTTTTCTTGAGTATTTTGATACTCAGCTACATTGGCTTCGTAAAGGCCTTCAACAGAAGGCTTTAATCGAGAGGTAATTTGGAAACTACTTCGACTCTACGGCGTACCTCAGGTTTTTATCAATCAGTTGCTGAGCACTAATAGGGAAAAACGGGGAAGCTGTCACAATGGCGGACAGACTAAACAGCGCACGACTGCCAGACAAAGAATAAAGATATTTGAATTTGGGAGGTTCAACAGAGAAAAGTTTTTGAACGAGGAGCACACCGCAGATAGTGTTTAATTATAAGGAAATAATTACTATATGTCAAATAGGATATTTATACATTAAGTGAGGTAAACCGAAGTAGCAAACGGAAGTCACGGTAATAGAGTGAATGAATATAAATTCATACTACTTACTATTGATAAGTAGTATAAAAATGTACACAAAAAACGAATAACGATAGCCGTAACGAAACCTAGGCGGCCTGGGAGAGCATTACTGTATGGGTTAGGCTAACAGACTCACTCACAGACTACTGATTGTTCGAAGCTCTAGCCTCAAGTCTTGTGTTCGAGTGAGAAACTATCGCTCGGTATTCTTGCTCATGGTCTAGCAATCGCCTTAACAGATATTCCAGCTGTGTAGATAAATACAGTTGTTGCAGCACTTTTAAAATAGCCGAACTTAATATCTGATATGATGTTTACAGCATTCCTCCAAGCACGCATAATACACAACTACATAAGACCAACTAATTACCTGAGTAAATTTAAATTCTAATTGACCGCCTCTGTGTTGCCTATTTAAATATGTATTAAAACAAAAGCGTGTCGAGTTCGTTTTTCAATAATTTAAGTCCTGACTGAACAAATGTCCTTTCTTGATAAGCATTAGTGGCTACTTTATAGTGAAGTTATATTCATAGATAATATAACTCATTTCATCCACTTGTTTATTTAAAATGGAAATTGGTCCTGTTCATTGTTTTTAGAATGACCGCTCATCCTGAATATCCGTTCAACGAAGAATATTAAAAGTCGCTGTACGGGATTGCCCTTTTTTAACATGTATTTGTTAATTAATAAATTTATTCAGATGGATTATTCCCTGTGGTTCTTTACTGTGTATCTATTTATTTTTTTGGAGGAACGTGGGGTAGACATTGAGAACTCGATACTGAAGATTACATAAGCTATTCAGGAAGGATAAACAAGGATCGCTGACAGCGAACCTGTTGCCCAACACATGTGCACAAAGAAATGCAGATGAACTGGACATAAACTGGGGAGACAAACCTCTAAGATGATATCACACATCAAGAGGGGCCCGAATAGGTAGCGAATAAACAGTTGGGCTTCTGCGGGTGACATGAATCATGTCATGTGAGGATAAAATGAAAGCTTTATGGACAGTTGTGGTGGCGGACAGGCGTGACGGTAGATAGGCTAGTTCAATCAAGACGAGCCATTCGGAACTCACGAAATGAGTAATAGTAGGTGTGAAAAACTGACGTCACTGCGTACGAGTCCAAACTGTTACGCTTCACATCTACACATAACACTAAAGGCGATTAAAATGAGGTCAGGTAAAACAGTAATTATGTCATCAAAGCTCAACAATAATTTTTGTGTACATGTAACAGCGGAACACAAGGCTATGTTGTTCTACCTATTTAAGTTTATGATTCCTTGTACTTCTGAAAACTGACCATCTCATATTACTTATATCTGTGAAGTCTGTAACCAACGTTAGTGGTGCGTAGTTGACTCAACTTACTAACCTTGTTGTCAACAAACATTCGAATAAGTGCGAAAAGTTAGCTAAGTCCATTTTGTAGAATACTAAACATCCTATATATTCTAAAGTGTATCCTTTCTTCAGTCTCTTCAGGGAAAAATAACACTAGAAGCCATTTCATGAGAATTTCTGACCGCATAGTTCAATACTACTAAAATTCAACCACACACTTTTGAGACGGACCTTAGATGGGGAAACTAATATCACGAAAGGGATAACAATACTAATAATAATTTGGTTTATTCCAAAACAGTACTTGTGATACAGAATGGAGTTCTCAGCATTTCACTACACACAGTATTGCATCCAAGTTGTACATTAACAATAAATAAAATTCTACATAGATTATGGGTAATCTCAGTTAGTTTTGCCAACAACATATTGGCATGTCGGTAGCAAAGCCAAAAGTGAACAGAATGTTTGAAGGTGTTAGAAAAGTAGATGCTAGCATATTTACTACCGTAAGGGGTAACAAAAACTCGACATATACGGAGTCTGAAAGGACGAAGAACAATGCTTTAAGTAGAGTTTGTAAGGAAGAGAGAAACAAAGCAGCACATAACAGAGAAAAAAAGAGAGAGAGAAAAATAAAAGAGAGAAAGAAAACGTTGTTTCTATGAAAGATATGAATTGGAAAGGCGAAATCCAGTTGCTCTACTGAGTATTTAATAAGTCAGAAGTTTCACGCCTAGTGCTTTCATCGCACAGAACACGATTTTATTTATTTATTTAAACGCATAAAAGCGAGGTACAATGTGGCACCAAGAAGGATGCGCCACCCAATAATAATAAAACAACATAGATCAAAAGAAAGAAAGAAGAGAAATATATATAAGTAGAGATCGGATAAAGAACTTCATCTGGAAGGAAAACAGTCATGCTTAACAAGTTCAAACAGTATTTGTTAACTATCATCCGGAAGGGGAGAAAGAAGAAAATTGCAACACGTGTAATAGCATGCGATAAGTTTCATTGATTGTTTGTTGCTTTATTCAATACATTCCCAGAACACGAGCTAAGTAGGGTATGGTTGAGTTTTTGTACTTGCTAGTGCGAGCATATCGTTTTCTATCTAGGCTTCCGGTTTTTCCTGATGAGATACAAGAGGAGAGTTGTGAATGAGGAGGGTGATGTGAGTTAGATAAAATGGATTTATCACATGAGTCCAAGTGACTGTCGACCAGAATATTAACAAGCTGGTTAAGTGGCACGTTGCTTACCTTGCTGACAACCTTTAACATCCTGCGTAATAAGGTATAGTCTTTCTTCAGTAGCCCTGGAAAAGCTAAGGGGGAACAATAGAGAATTAGAGGCAGGATGCAAGAGTTAACGAATCGTAAGGGTTGGGTTGGGTTATACCAGAATGTCTTAACTTCCTGATATAGAAGGTAAGACGGAATATTTTATTAGAAATCATCAAGATATGAGACGACCAGGAAAGATCAGCAGATAGAATGACACCAAGATATTTAATTTCCGACTTGGTTTCTATTTTAGTGCCATCTATATTGCACACCTCGTGAGTGCAACCAGTTTGTTTAGGTCAGTCAGATTTATGCCTAAAGGTGAAATTGACTGTTTGGCATTTAGAGGGATTTAAGGTTAGACCGTTCTTTGTGATGGATAAAGAAGACTTTCCGTGGATGAATATGATCCGCAATTAATACAATTATTAACTTTTAGTTTTTGCAGATACGTATTTGGATTTCTTTTATATTGTTTCATGTTCTACTGACAAGATCTATTGTTTGTTTATATTCTTCTAATATTTATATTTCTGTCATACCACTGAATATAACTCATCCCCTACCCATCTGAAACTTAGATATCACTTGATGGAGTTTCACTTTTTATCAATGTTCCATTAAATGAAACTATATACTTCATTTATAATTACATAGATTTACATAATGTAAATGCAGGAATGCCCACATCATACCTAAAAGAACTCATACTTCGATGTACTTGAAATGCTAAATTTCTTTTCAGCAAGGAAATCTATAGACAGAGAGATGGGATAGCTATGGGTTTACCAAGTGGTCCGTTGGTAGCAGACTTCTTACTGGCTTGTATGGAGAGGGGGCTTAACTTCTACAAAAGAGACGTAGACGATACGTTCATTATATGTGCCGAGAACTGCTACTTGAATAACATCCTGAAAGTATTCAGTGACAGTCATCCTGCTATTCGATTCACCGTAGAAAAAGAAATTGAAGAAAAAATATCTTTCCTCGATTTGCTACTCACAAGGAGAGCAGATGGGTCTTTGAAAAGATCTGTTTACAGGAAATCGAAATGGACAGGACAACTGACCGATTTTTACAGTTTTGTCGCCATCGATAAGAAAATGAATCTAATTCGTTCCCTCTCAATACGGGTGCGGAGAATTTGTAGTGAAGATTGTATTGATAATAGAACTCAAACAACTAAAAGAAACCTTCAGAGGGAACATGTATCCACTGCGCTTCACAGAGGCCAATAGCAAATTACGTGGAAGAAATACAGCGATGGACAAGGTGGCTAAAAAAGTGACACTTAGAGTGAGATGCTTAAAATTAATCAGATGATGAGAACATTAAGAAAAACGTTCTTAGCTGCCACTTTACGAATAACCTACTCTAGCCGTCCGCCGGTGCACCTTAGTGTCAAGGAAATGTTAATTGGATTGTCTAATTCCATATGTATTGATATGTTCACCTGCTCTTGCGAAGCTAAATACACAGGACGTTCTTCGATATACATATCCCGCCACGTTCAAGAGAACCTCTCAGTTTGTCTGAGCGAAAGAGAACATAGAAGTATGATTTTATCGATATGGAAAGATATTGTAGATACCAACCATGCAGCATCTGACACATCGTTTAATATAGTCCACAAAGTTTGCCAAAAGAGACACGTGTTTTTCTACTTTATATAGCAGGGGCTTTGGCAATAGATAACACAAAGCCAGAACTTTGTGTACAAAACCAATTTGTACTATCTCTTTCGTTAATGTGGTCTTTATTTTACTATGTAATCCATGTAATAACTTTTTTTTATCCTTCTTTATTCCGTGTTCCATTTTTGTTTTATTTCATTTGACTTTATGTTATGGCATAGTCTAACATTTTGATTTAGTCTACTATTCTGACAACGTTTCACTCATCCATCCATGTCACCATCATATTATGCTCACGTATTCACATTTCTGAATTTATTTTATTTTCCGATCATCTAATTAACGCATGTTTATTGAACTTTAGGCTGACCTCTATTTATTTATTTAGTTATTCACTCCTATATCTAATCAATTGTGACTCGTAATCCTATAAAATGATGTTATCGCATTAATATCAGGCAAAAGTTTGAGCATTGCGGATTAGATCAAATAGAGTATTAATTATATTTCAGGCGAAGTTTACACACAATGATAAGTTTTGTTATTGGTAATATTTCGAGGAAAATTACTTACTGCCCGCATTCACACACCACTGTTGGAATTGTTTTGTTCACATATTTATGATTTGTACTCATATATACATATATATATATATTTAAAACAATTAGTTCCCTTTATGAATTTAGATAAAGCAATAAGAAGACGTAATTTGTCTGAATCGATTCAGACAAATTACGTCTTCTTATTGCTTTATCTAAATTCATAAAGGGAACTAATTGTTTTAAATTTTTAAAGAGAAGGCTCCCTCCACACACTATCAAAAGGTTAAATGAACTTGTTAACCTAAGGTGTAAAATTATCGTCGAACGTAACACGTTGGAATTTTATGAATTATGTATTAAAAATCATTCTTTCCCGAGGCAATTTTATAAAACTTTGAAATTCAGTAAATTACAACCAAATATCTCTAATCTTGTTCGTCTTACAAAGTCACATATCGAAAATGTTAAACAAACCTTACAAGGACTACTTGTTCTTCATACCGATGCGTCGCTTATTTTATCTGAATTATCAATAATATGCCACATGAAATTCCTTCAGTTTTGTAAAGACGTTACTCAGAAAACGAAGACGAATATACAAAATAAATTGAAGAGTTCAATCGATGATCGAAACCGCGTAGATGTCTTCCCGGTGAATCCTGATAAGTACGTTACAAATCTTTCTGATATTACTCTATCTACTCATCAGAAAGAAGCTTTATCCCTTGGACTCAAATTTTGTGTTCCTCGCACGCAATTTACGGATTTAGCCATCCATGCTGAGTTTGAAAACTTATATGACCAACTCAAACCTCTT